TCGAACCTACCCAGTGGCTTCCCTGAAAAAAAGACCTGGCCATCTGATTCCATAAGATTACAGCCAAGAAAACCCTGTAGGACAGTTTTAATCTGTAACATATGGGGATGTCATGAGTTAGAATATACTCCACAGCAACAAGAATTTATTTAAAATAACTTTAGTTTTTTTCACTGTTCAGAATATACACAGAACACACAACAATTCAACAGTTTCTAAATGTACAATTCAGTGACACTGATTACATTCTCTAAGTTGTGAACCATTCCCACCCTCCTTTTGAGTTGTTCCTCCCCGATTAACATAAACTTACTGTCCCCTAAGTTCACTATCTAATCTTTTGAGTTGCTGTTGTCAGTTTGATACCATATAGATAGATCTTACAAGAGCCCAATGGTCAAGACAGACATTCTTTACTAGTTCAACCAAACTATTGTTTGGTTTGAAGAAGACTTTATGGGATATTTTTGGTCTGAGGTTTAAGGTTTAACGATAACCTCAGAGCAATAGTTTCAGGAGTTCATCCGGCCTTTGTGGCTCCAGAAATTCTGGATTCTGTAAGAATATGAAATTCTGTTCTGCATTTTGCCTCTTTTGTTCAGGATTCTTCTATAGAATCTTTGATCAAAATGTTCAGTGATGGTATGTAGTTCTTCTGATCTCGTGGCAAAGGAGGTAATTGTTTATGGAGGTAAGTAGCCACACATTCCATATCCTCCTCCTATTCCTCACTTTCACAAGGTAGATTTTTTGGTGTATCTTTTGGGAAAGTCCTGTGACATGAACAAGGGTGTGTTGGAGGCACTCAAATGACACCTAAGACTTACCGGACCACCTTCAGAGCAGCTATGAAGGCAGCATGGCCAGACTCCCAGACAAAGAAGCCCAGACTGCCATTCCTACCAACCTCAGGGAACCCTTACGGGGGGTGTCTCAGCGGCAGGTATGTTTGGGAGAAACTGGAAATGTATATACCATTCCTACTCTAAATGGTAACTGAACACATCCTCAAGGACAGAAAAAAATGAGCTGAAGGCCCAATGGCGTGGATTGTGTTAGTCCTGCCCAGACATGGCGGCCACCAAGGCCCTAGCCTTGGCTTCCTATGCACAACGTGCCTGGCACAAAGGCTCCCTGCCTAGGCCTGACCCCAGTGTCTGCAGCTTCTTGGGCAGGTCTCTGCCTCAGGCCACACTTGCCCCATGATTCACGGAGCTCTGGATATGCAGGACCCTATGTTTAGTTATAGCTAGGATCCCAAATTCCCCTAATGCCAGGCCTCCCTAGGAAGCAACAGGGTTGGGTCTGTGGGCTTCGGAAACAACTTCCGCTTGATGGCGCTATAGCACAAGAAATACCTGTGCCCTTGATCACCCTCCACCCTTTGCTATTAAAAAAAAAAAAAAAATCCAACCAATGTCCCGCCTCCTGAAAAACTAGCAACTCAGCATCTTGTCCATTTTTGAGACTCCAGCTCCCACATCTTGTGCTGAGTCTCCCTAGCCCTTTTCTCTGTAGAGAAGCATTAGTTTTCCTTCCTTTCTGACCAGGACACCCCACCCAGAACTCCATGTTGGTTTGTCAGAGTAATGGTGAAAGGTGGTGGTGTACACTCCCCCCGAGGTGACATAGATATTCACTGGGCTGAAAAACAGAGATTTCTTGTTGTTTTTAAATGCTACTACATCAGCTATTAGAACAGCAATGTCAAAATAAATTGTGATATGAATTTCACGTGTTCCTTGAGGGTGTTTCAATGAACTAGATGTTAAAGAACCAGCTCCTACAGACAGGGGACCTCCTAATGGGCGATTTGTTTTATAATTTGCAGGCTATTTCTTTTATACACTTTACTGTAAAGTTCTTCATAAAGGTTTGGCTGTGTTACACATTCATAGCGGCAACATAGGTATATATACACACAAGAACACACACACCCATAGTTTTCTTGGCTGTAATCTTTACTGACTCAGATTGCCAGGACTTTGTTTTGTGGTGTCATTGGGTGGATTTGAACAACCAGCCTTTAGTTTAGTAGTTGACCGCAAATCATTAGCACCACTCAGGGACTTATGTATATACACGAATGTATTTATAAATGCATGTTCATCTTTATCTATTGCTATATCTATTTCTATAAGACTTAGAATTCCATGTTAACAGGTACCCAGATTTTTGTTCACATGCATAGATATACAGGTCTTCTTGGGTAGGATTTTAGCGTTAACAGGAAATTAACTCTTGGCTTGAGTTGGAATAAATACCTTGATTTCCTCTTGTCATTGCCTCATTGACTTTTCTGGATTCATGAACTACCTCACCCAGGGCAAACACTCAGGAGCCAGATCCCAGAGAGAGACTAGGCCATTGTGGCATCAGGAATACTTAACAGTGGTCAGGGTGGGTGACAAGACAGTTAGGTTGATGCCCTTGCTCACCTTCAAGGAACCCAGGTAGTCATTCCCCATTTGGTGCCCCAGTTTGCAGATCCATAGGTCAGAAGGAAACCTTAATGGCGCCACAGAAGCAGGTGTCCTCTGCAAAGTCCATTTGTATTATAGTTTCCAGTGTAAAGCTCTACATGAAGGTTTTGGTGAATCATACGCTCACATCCTCACACACACCATTTGTTATGTGTCTTTGACTTTCATGGAGGTGCCAGTGTGGCCACAGCCCCATCCCATTCAAAGAAAACATGCATTACCATTGTACTCGGACCACTTCCAAGCCTGTTGCTCTCCTTTCTACCCCTTGTCCCAACCCTTCTTACAGTGGACAATTTTAACTTTTCCTTGGGTTTACCTCCGCTTTCAATAGGGTTTACAAGGTGATCAAAACCCTAAACACTGAACATAGACTCCAATGAAAACTGCACATTTTCATGGCAGATTGGTTAGAGGGGAGAGATTCTTGTGTACTTCTCTGTCTGGGTATGAAGGATACTCTAATTTATGCTCCTAGTAATGATAAAAGGAGCCCTGGTGACACAGCGGTTAGATGCTCGGCTGCTAATTGAAAAGTCAGTGGTTGGAACCTACCAGCTGCTCCAAGGGATGAAACACCTGGCAATGTGCTCCCATGAAGATTACGGCTCAGGAAACCCTATGGGGAAGTTCTACTCTGTCATATAGGGTCCCTATGAGTTGGAATAGACCCGAGAGCACATAATCATCAAACTGTTTGTACCACCCAGAGGATATATATATATATGTATGTATGTATATCAACACCAGTGTAAGTATATGCATACATTCATTTTTATCTATCACTACCAGTATTTCTATAAGACCTCTCTGTCAGATTTCCATGGTCACATTTACCCAGATTTTTGTCCACACATGTAGATGTACAGGACTTCTTGGGTAGGATTTTAGCTTTCACAGGAAATTGACTATTGGTTTGAGTAGGGAAGAATCCCTGATTTCTTCTCTTATCATTGGCTCCTTGGCTTTTCTGGACTCATGAGCTACCTCATCCAGGGCAGGGACTCAGGACCCTGGTCCCAAGGAGATAGGAGTAGTTGTTGTTGTTGTGTGCTGTCAGGTCGATTCTGGCTCACAGCTACCCCATGTGACAGAGAAAAACTACCCCATGGGGTTTTCTAGGCTGTAATTTTTATGGAAGCAGATTGCCAGGACTTCCTATCACAGAAATACGGGGTGGGTTCAAATGGTCAGCCTGTTGATTAGCAGCCTAGCGCTTAACCACTGCACTACCAGAGCACCTTCATCTTGTAAGTCCTGTGTTATGAGGAAGGGGGGGTTACGGGCACTAAGATGACTCTGGGACATGACCGGCCAACCCCTAGAGCAGTTGTGAAAGCCACAGGGCCAGGCTCTCCAGCAAAAGCGCCCCAGGCTGCCAGGTCTGCCTGGCTCAGTGAGCCCTGGGGATCTGGCTAGGTGGCCGCCATGTTTGGGAGAAATGGGAAATGTGGTATTACTCCATAACTCTGAATCCCAAAGGAATATGTCCTCAAGGAAAATCAAGGTATCTGGAAATTTGGCAAACTAAAGACCCGAAAGGAGCAACAGCACAAAATCTCCTTCTCAGGATCTACAAGTTAAATCCATTTCTCTACGTGCAGAAGAAAAGTTAGAATTACTTGGTTCCTCTCTGTTTCCATTTTCAGCTGAACTCTTAGGATGCGACTTTTCAGCAATCAAAGACTTCTACCAGGTCCCTAAAGAAACTACAGCCACAGTTTCCATTTCTACAGAACATGCCCAATTGGCTAGGTTTCCACATTGCACATACAGACCCCATCTGGTGACATTACCCAGAGAAAAGGGGCATAAACTTGAGAGCCCTCCAGGCCCCACGGAAAGGTGCACTGTGTGGAGGAGACTCTGCGCTTGCAGTATAGGGTTTGAATCACCTCATACGCCCTGCTGAAAGCAGAGCCAGGAGCTGATCTTATTCAACACCTTGTCCCTGGAGTTCAACACAGTCTTGAGTTTGTAGTCTTTTCCTTCTTTCTTTCTCTAATTCCTTGTGCTCTCATTTTGTTCTCTGTGTGGTGATCACTGAGAGTCCCCCGAAATTGCCATTAAAAGTGACAGAGTTTTCCAGGGATGTTCAAACACAACAAGTGATCTATCTCTTTCATGTTCTTCTTGGAGACATGCCTCCTGGAGAAGCCAGTCCTATTGCTGTGATCCGGACTAGTTTTACTCCAGGTGGGCCACACAGATATCATCCTAGGCCTCCCTTTATGGTCCTCCTGGGTTGCTCTAACACCTGGCTTACTTTCCCCTGCATTAGATGTGTCACTACCTGGGGAGCCCTCTAACTTCCCCTAAACCTGCTTATTAGTGAGCCTTCTCAATACTCCTCCCTGGTTTTGGTGGAGCACATCCTGTAGTAGCTTCATCAGAACAGGTGCTTGGGAGATACAATTTTGGCTGACAGTGAAGGAGGAAACCATCTCTCAGACTGCCAGCACTGTGGACTGGGCTGAGTCTGAATGTGTACAGACTGCCGGGTGGGAAGCCACTTACCCTCTAAAGATCAAGTCATGGCATCATGGTTTCCTGGCATATGGATCCTCCATGAGACCTCTAGGCAATTCTCATTATTGATATTCTGTGGTTGAATCCATTTTCTATCTGGAAGCATTCCGGGAGCTTATGTTCAACCCGGTGTTCCACAATTTGAGTCACAGGCAGGACATCGTCCAGTTGTACCATCCCTCAGGACACATCTTTGTGGCTTTATCATTTGAAGGTCTTCTTTCTCTAAGGTTTCGTTTTGTGTCGCACATAGAAGACAGGAATCACACCTCCTCAAGTCATCACATTTTCAGATTGGTTTCTAAACAGACTGAATTAGAAAGTGCAGAAGTATTTTTGTCACTCAGCCCCTATACCCCTCCCAATGCCTCCTGGCCCCCATAATATTCCAGCAAGAGCTTATTACCACTTCCTTACTGGCCTGAGGGCCATGTCCCAGTGTGTTCAACCCCAGAGAGATCAGGAAAGCATGGGAGGAACAGGTAGGAAAGGGTCAACTGAGAGAAGAAGGTAAAGGCCTTCAACCTGGTTGTCCTCAAGAAGTTTCCAACAGTCTTTCTCCATTGGAGAATAAGACTGCTCCTTCCCCTTGACAAGGTGGGCAACCACATGGTCCTCTCAGGCAGATGGCCTCAGCGGCTACAGCTTCTAATGGCTTTCCTCTCTCCCCTGCACTGCAGGACACTGACTTCTCATTCCAGTACCTCTGCGCTAAGGTAGACGCAGATCCTCCACACATTTCTAATGTGGGATAACACAATCAGGACATCTCTCGAGATCCTCTTCTACTATGCTGGAAAGCCACTTACTAGTATCTCAATGTTACTGTGATATATGAGTCAATGTTGGGAAACTCTACTTTCTGAGGTTTGTTCAAATACCAGAAGTTATTGTAGTTCTTTAATAAAATTAAATATCCTATGCAACCTGGTTTGGAATGGAGAATGAATAGAAAATACAGCACTCACCCATAAGTCCACTGCCTAGAAATAAGCAGCGTTCTCTTTCGTGTTTTTCTTTCCTGTCCAGTTCCCTCAGCTCAGAGATGCCCAAACACCCAGGTCTCCATTTCAGTTTGCCAGAGTGAAGGTAAAAGGTGGTCCTGTACACTAAGTCCAACCAACAGGGATATTATTTGCTCTGCTGAAAAATAGAGATTTGTTGCTTTTTTTTCCCTTAATGCTACAAAATCGGCTATAACCATTCTCTAGCAAATTGTGATATGAATTTCAACTGTTCCTCTTTTGGAAATTATACAAATATAATTCGGGGTGCTTCAATGAATTGGATCTTACAAATCCAGCTCCTGTGAAATCTGAAGGTAACTGTGCCCAAAATATTTCATGTGTAGCAAGTACAATGATCTCAGAAGACAGTAAGATTGATGTCTTGGCTCACCTTCAGGGGACCCAGGTAGTTATTGCCCATTTGGTGTCCCAGGTGGAGGTTCATGGATCAGAAGAAGACCACAGTGGTACCATACAGGGAGGCAACCTCTTCGAGGGCCATTTGTTTTACAGTCCCTCTGTAAAGTTCTACCTGACGGTATCGCTGCATTACACACTCACTGGCCCAGACATACATGCACACACGCACACACACAGTTTTGTTATGGTAGTCTCTGACAATCATGGATGTGTCACTATGAATACAGCCTCACTCCATTCAAAGAAAACACTCATTACCATTGTACTAGGACCACTTCCAAGCCTGTTCCTCTCCTGTCCACCCCTTCTCCCAATCCTTCTTATAATGGGAAACAGATTTCCTTTTTTCCTGTGTGCTTTCAACAGGGTTACACGGTGATCCAAACCCTAAACAAGGAACATGGAATCAAATGAAAAATGCACACTTTCACGGCAGATTAACTAGAGGCAAGAAAAGCTTGTATTCTTCTCTGGGTATGGAGGGTACTCTATTTACCATCATTAGACTAGTAATGTCACTAGATGTCTGCATGCACAAAGTGAAACCTATTGGGTTGAGGATTTTCTGTAGAAATGGAGAAGGTAGATACACAGTTTGTTTAAGAGCCTGACAGAAATCATTGACTTTTCAAAGAATGCATGCTGATGCTCTCCTGAACATGGAAACACTGAGGAAGAAGTAAGCTCCTTCTCAGTTGTCATCCATAGCAAAGAAGTGGATTTAACTTGGGGATCCGAGGTGGAGATTTTTTAGTAGAGTTTGTTTCAGGTCTTCACCTAGCCAAATTTCCACACATATATATACAAATATATATACACACACTTTTTTTTTTATCCTTGAGGACATTTTTCTTTGGAGTTCAGGGTTAGCAAGAAATCCGACATTTCTCATTTCTCCCTAACATGGCGGCCAACGAGGCCATGCCCCACAGAGATCCAAGAATACTGGAAGGCCTGGCAGTCTGGGGTTTATCTGTTGTGGAGAGTGGTTCCATGGCTTACACCAGCGCTGGAGGTGGCACAGTGAGTCCCCAGAATCCTTTGAGTACCTCTCAACCTACCCTTCCTCTTCTTACCGGCCTTATCCACAACGTATAAGCTATAGCGGCTCAAGACCTTGCTCAAAAACCATCCGCTTGATGGCACTGTGGATTCACAAATGACAGCCACCTCTTCCTCCTGGCCTCTCCCTCCGCCCTTTCCAAAATAAAAAAACCAGACAAAGTCCGGAAACAATCTAGGCTTCTAAGTGAGGTTTACTGCATTGGGGTTTCCAGGGAGGTGCTTTTTGTTTCTTTCTGGCTTTTAAAGAGATGTGTATATATGCATATGAATATCAGTATGAATACATGTATACATACTTATCTTTACGTATTGCTACATCGATTTCTAGAAGAACCCGAAGTCAGATTCCATGTTAATAGGTTCCCAGATTTTTGTTCACACCTGTAGATAAATAGGCCTTCTTGCCTGGCATTTTAACTTTCAATTTCTCCTTAAGTCAAGAGGAATATCTTGATTTCTCTCTTATCATTGTCTCATTGGCTTTGTTGGATTCATGCAGCTATCCATCCAGGGCAAGGACTCAGAAGTCAGGAACCAGAGACAGAATAGGTCATTGTGGCTGCAGGAGTCATTACCAGTGCCCATGGCAGGTCCGAAGACAGTGAGCCTGGTGACCTGGCTCACCTTCAGGGGACCCAGGTAATTATTGCCCATTTGTTGCTCCAGGTTGTTGGTCTACGGGTCAGAAGGAGACAAAATGGTGCCATACAGACAGGCACCCTCCTAGAGGGCAATGTGTTTTACATGTTCTAATGTAAAGTTCTACATGAAGGTTTGGCTGAGTTACAGTCAAAACTCCAAACACACAAGCATATGCTCACACACACACACAGTTTGTTTTTTGTTTTGTCTAACTGCCACGTAGCTGCCACTGTGCACAGAACCTCATCTCATTCAAAGAAAACAGCTACTACCATTGTGCTAGGTCCACTTCTAGCATGTTCCTCTCCCTTACACCAACCCTCCTTATAGCAGGAAACAGACTTAATTTTTCCTTGTGTATATTTTTGGTGTTTAATGTCCATGAAAGTAAATATAGACTCATGTTTGCATTTCACCTTTTCACTGTCCCCAGAGGGTGGCATAAGCAATATATTATTTTCCCTGCTTTCACAAAATATATGTCCTGGCCTTTGCACAACTATGCAAAGAGACACAGTGCTGGATAATTTTAATTTCCTTTCTAACCACCGCTTAGTGTTCCCCTGTGTGGAGGTGGGTGGGGAATAAGTTATTTATCCTGGGCTTCTCTTTTAACAATAGGCTTAAGATATCCTTCCTTCCTACCATCCTTCCTTCCATTCACACTGCCCCTTCCATTTCTCTTCTCTCAACTTCTTCCCTTTCTATCTCTTTCTTCCTTTAATGACATGCTTTGAGGCAATGTATTACCTCATGATAATGTGCATGTAGGTACATTTTAAAATAAATGTTATATCAGAATACGTGGCTTCCTGTCTCTGGAGCCTGTCTCAAGTCCTCACCCTGGATGAGGTAGCTCAAGTGTTCAAAAAAGCCAATGAGGTAATGATAAGAAGAAAAAAAAATCAAGGTACTCATCCTGACTCAAGCCCCAAGTCAATTTCCTGTGAAATCTAAAATTCTACCCAAGAAGACCTATAGGTAGAACCTACCCAGTGGCTTCCCTGATAAAAGTCCTGGCCATCTGATTCCACAGATTACATCCAAGAAAACCCTGTGGGGCAGTTCTAATCTGTAACATATGGGAATACTGAGTCAGAATCTACTCCACAATAACGTGGATTTTTTAAAAATAACTTATTTTATTTTAGTTTTTGTTGTTGACAATATACACAGCAGAACATACACCAAATTCAACAGTTTCGAAATGTACAATAGAGTAACATTCATTACATTCTTTAAGTTGTGCAACCAATCTCACCCTCATTTTCTGAGTAGTTCATCCTGGATTAACATAAACTTATGTCCCCTAAGTTTACTATATAATCTTTCAGGTTGCTGTTGTCAATTGACCCCATACAGACAGATCTTAAAAGAGTCCAATGGTCAAGGCGGACGTTCTTTACTAGTTCAACTAAACTATTATTTGTTTTTTTAAGAAGACATCAGGGGATATTTTTCTTTTATGGTTAAAAATTTAAAGATCATCTTAGAGCAATAATTTCAGGCGTTCACTCAGCCTTCACAGATCCAGAAATTGTGGATTCTGAGAGAATCTGAAATTCTGTTCTGCATTTTTCCCTTTTTGATCAGTTCTTCTGGTCTCATGGCAAAGGAGGTAATTGATCACCGAAGCAACAAGCTGCACATTCCATATCTCATCCTATTGCTGACTTTTACGAGGTAGATTTTTTAGTGTACCTTATGGAAAAGGAGTCTAATATGAACAAGGGTGTGTTGGATGCGCTCAGATGACACCTGGAACTTACTGGGTCACCTTCAGAGTGGTTATGAAAGCCATATGGCCAACTCCCAAAGAAGCCCACACTGCCATGCCAACTAAGCTTATGGTGCCCTGGGGTGTGGGGAGGTGGGGGGAGGATGCAGCAATGGAAGCTATGTTGGGAGAAAGTGGAAATTTGTATCATATTCCAACTCTAAATGGTAACTGAAGACATCCTCAAGGACAGAAACAAAAGAGCTGAAACTCCATTGGAGTGGCTCATGCTAGCCGGGCCCAGACATAGCGGCCACCTAGGCCCTAGCCTTGGCTTCCTATGCACGACCAGCTTAGCACCATGGCTCTCTGCCTGGGCCTAACCCCAGTCTCCGCAGCTTCGTGGGCAGGCCTCTGCCTCGGGCCACACTTGCTCCATGACTCACAGAGCTCTGCACAAGCTGGACCCTATGATTAGTTATACTTAGCTCCAGACTTCCTCCAATGCCTGGCCTTCCAAGGAAGCAACAGTAGTGAGAGTGCGGCTTTCGGTAACAAGTTCCGCTTGATGGCGGTATAGCACAAGAAATAACTGTGCGCTCCTCCGCCATGATCAACCTCCACCCTTTGCTATCCAAAAAAAAGAGAACAATATGCCAAACAATGTCCAAACTAGCTAAAGCAACTGCCTTACTATCTTCTCCATATTTGATGCTCCAGCTCTGGTATCTTGTGCTGAGTCTCCCTAGCCCTTTTCTCTAGAGGAGAGCATTACTTTTCCTTCCTTCCTGACGAAGACAACCCACGCAGGACTCCATTTTAGTCAGAGCAACGGTGAAAGGTGGCGGTGTATACTCCCCCAGTCGACAAAGATATTATCCACTGGGCTGAAAAACAGAAAGTGTTGCTTTCTTTTTTTAAAAATGCTACTATATCAGCTATAAGAATATAACAACGTCAGAATAAATTGTCATATAAATTTCAACTGTTCCTGGGGGTGTTTCAATGAATTGGATCTTACAGAACCAGCTCCTGTAATATCTGAATCAGAAAAAGACCCCAGTTGTGCCCCACAGGCAGGCGACCTCCTATAGGGCAATTTCTTTAGATTAGCAGGCTATTTGTTTCACACTCTTTATCTTAAAGCTCTACATAGAGCTTTGGCTGTATTACACATTCATAGACCCACACATAAGAGTACATACACACAAGAATACACACACCGGTAGTTTGGTTTTGTTTCTCTTTACTGGCCGTGGAGGTGCCACTGTAGATAAAGACTCACCCCATTCAAAGAAAACATCCATTACCATTGTTCTAGAACCACTACCAAGAACATTCCTCTCCCATAGACCCATTCTCCCAACTTGCCTTTGACTGGAAAACGCATTTAATTATTTCCCTGTGTATAATATCTCAACTTTCAATAGGGTTTACAAGGTGATCCAAACCCTAAACACAGATCATGGACTTCAGTGCCAACAGTGCGCACTTCCATGGGAGCAAGGATACAGGGGAGAGAAGCTTGTGTACTTCGGTTAAGGAGGGCGCTCTAGTTTCACGTCAGTAGTAATGATCACTAGATTATGGCTGTATACTATCCTTAAGAGACAGGCAGAAATCTTTGACTTTTGAAAGGATGCGTGCTGGTAGGTCTAGGGAACATGGAAACAGAGCCCAGAAGAAACCACATCCTTCTCACTTTTTATCTGCACGGAAAGAAATGGATTTAACTTGTCTATATCGAGATGCAGGTTTTCTGATATTGTTTGTTTCAAGTCTGTACCATATCAAAATTTCCAGAGACAAATTTATTTCCATGAAGACATTTTTCTTGGCTTTCAAAGTCCGGGAGGAATACCACCTTTTGTTTCTCTCAAACATGGAGGCTACCGAGGCCACGCCCACAAAGAGCTCTGAGACAGGCAGGCCTGGTAGCCTGGGATTTGTTTGTAGGGTAGGATGGTTTTGGATTTCTTCTCAGCTGTGGAGGCTGTCCAGTCAGGCCCCAGAGTCCTTTGAGTACCCCCCAACCTACCCATCTTCTTATCACAAACCCTATCCAGGAAGTATAGCTAGAACGATCAGAACTTGCTGTAAAAGCTTCCGCTTGATGGCAATGTTGCTCCACAAGAGCCTTCCACCTCCTCCCTGTGGCCTCTCCCTCCGCCCTTTCCTAACAAAAAAAGTCAAGGAAAGCACAGAGCCATCTATATACCTTCTAAGTAGGGTTACTACACTAGGGTGCTGGGGAAAGTATTTTCCTTTCTGGCTCTTTACTTGGTATGCATAAATTTTTAAAAAGCAAATAAACCCCTTCACCGTCAAATATATTCAGACTCATGGCCACCTCATGTGTTACAGAGTAGTGCTGATCCACAGGGTTTTCTTGACTGTAATCTTCACGGAATCAGATTGCCAGGACTTTGTTTTGTGGGGTAATTGGGTGATTTTGAATAACCAGCCTTTAGTTTACTAGTTGACGCAATTTTTTTTGCACCACTCAGGGACATACATGTATACACAAATGTCAGTATGAATATATGTATAAATTCATGTTCATCTTAATCTATGGCTACATCTATTTTTATAAGACTAGTAAATCAGAATTCCATGTTAACAGTTACCCAGATTTTTCTTCACATGTGTAGATATGCAGGTCTACTTGGGAAGGATTTTAGCTTTCACAGGAAATTGACTTGTGGCTTGAGTTGGGATAAATGCCTTGGTTTCCTCTTATCATTGCCTCATTGGCTTTTCTGGATTCATGAACTACCTCATCGAGGGAAAAGAGTCAGGAGCCAGACCCCAGAGAGAGAGTAGGCCATTGTGGCATCAGGAATACTGAACAGTGGTCATGGTGGGTGAGAAGACAGGTTGATGCCCTTGCTCACTTTCAGGGAACCTAGGTAGTCATTCCCCATTTGGTGCCCCAATATGTAATTCCAAGGGTCAGAAGGAAACCCCCATGGCAACACACAAGCAGGTGTCCTCTGTGAAGTCCATTTGTTTTACAGTCTCTACTGTAAAGCTCTACATGAAGGTTTTGGTGAATCATACACTCACATCCTCACACACACACACAAATACATACACACACCATTTGTCCTATGTGTCTTCGACTTCCATGAAGGTGTCAGTGTGGACAGAGCCTCATCCCATTCAAAGAAAACATGCATTAACATTGTACTGGGACCACTTCCAAGCCTGGTCCTCTCCTTTCTACCCCTTGTCCCAACCGTTTTTACAGTGGACACAGATTTAATTTTTCCTTGGGTTTACCTCCGCTTTCAGTAGGGTTTACAAGGTGATCAAAACCCTAAACACGAACATGGACTCCAGTGCAAACAGTGCGCACTTACACTGGAGATTGGTTACAGGGGAGAGAAGCTTGCGTACTTCTCTGTCTGGGTATGAGGGGTGCTCTAGTTTATGCTCCTAGTAATGATCAAAGGAGCCCTGTTGGCACAGTGGTTAAGTGCTGGGCTGCTAATTGAAAGTCAGTGATTGGAAGCCAACAGCTACTCCAAGGGTTGAAAAACATGGCGATGAGCTCCGATGAAGATTACAGCCTAGGAAACCCTATGAGGCAGTTTTACTCTATCATATAGGGTCCCTGTGAGTTGGAATCAACACAATAGCGCAAACAATATCATCAAACTGTTTGCACCATCCAGGGGCTACATATGTGTATATATATATCAATATGAGTATGAGTATATGCATACATGTATGTTTATCTAGTGCTACAGCTATTTCTATAAGACCTCTCTGTCAGAATTCCATGGTCACATTTATCCAGATTTTTGTCCACACATGTAGACGTACAAGTCATCTTGGGTAGGATTTTAGCTTTCACAGGAAATTGATTCCTGGTTTGAGTAAAGATGGGACCTTGATTTCTCATCACTGGCTCCTTGGCTTTTCTGGACTCATGAGCTACCTCATCCAGGGCAAGGTCCTAGAGAGATAGTATGCCATATATCATTGTTGTTGTGTGCTGTCAAGTTGATTCTGACTCATAGCTACCCCATGTGTCAGAGTACAATTACCCTATATGGTTTTCTAGGCTGGAATCTTTACGGAAGCAGATTGCCAGGTCTTTCTATCACAGAAATACTGAGTGGGTTCAAATGGTCAGCATGTTGGTTAGCAGCCTAGCGCTTAACAATTGCACTACCAGGGCTCCTTCATCTTGTTAGCAAGGACTGTGTAATGAGGAAGGCGGGATTACGGGCACTCAGATAACTCTGGGGTATGAGGGGCCAACCTCTAGAGCAGCTGTGAAAGCCACAGGGCCAGGCTCCAGAACAAAAAAATCCCAGGCTGCCAGGTCTGCCTGGCTCAGTGAGCCCTGGGTATCTGGCTAGCTGGACGCCATGTTTGGGAGAAATGGGAATGTGGCATTACTCCATAACTCTGAATGCCAAAGGAAAATGTCCCTAAGGAAAAACAATTTATCTGGAAATTTGGCAAGGTGAAGACCCGAAATGAATGACAGCACAAAATCTCCTTCTCAGGATCCACAAGTTAAATCCACTTCTCTCAGTGCAGAAGAAAAATGAGAACAGCCTGCTTCCTCCCTATTGTTTCCATGTTCAGCTGAACTATCACCATGTATCTTTTCAGAAATTATAAAGATTTCTAGCAGGTTCCTATAGAAACTGTGTAGCCACAGTACCCATTTCTACAGAACATACCCAATCGACTAGGTTTCCACATAGCACGTACAGATGCCATCTGGTGACGTTACCCAGAAGAAAGAAGAGTAAACTCGAGCGCCCTCTACACCCCACAAAAGTGTGTATTGTGTGGGGTAGACTCTGCACTGGCAGTTTAGGGTTTGGATCACCTCTTACACCCTGCTAAAAGCAGAGCCAGGCGCTGTTCTTATTCAACACCTTGTCCCTGAAATTCAACATGGTCTTGAGTTTGTAGTCTTTTCCTTCTTTCTTTGTCTACTTCCTTGTGCTCTCATTTTGTTCTCTATGTGGTGATCAATGTGACAGTCCCCAGAAGTTACCATTAAAAGTGACAAGGTTTTCCAGGGATGTTCAAACACATCAAGTGAACTATCGCTTGCATGTTCTTCTTGGAGACATGCTTCTGGAGAAGCCACTCCTCTTGCTGTGATCCTGACTAGTTTCACTACAGGTGGGCCACGCAGATATCATCCTAGGCATCCGTTTACTGTCCTTCTGGGTGGTTCTAACCCTTGACTTACTTTCACCTGCATCAGATGTGTCACTACCTGGGGAGCCCTCTAACTTCCCCTAAACCTGCTTATTAGTGAGCCTTCTCAATACTCCTCCCTGGTTTTGGTGGAGCACATCCTATAGTAGCTTCATCAGAACAGGTGCTTGGGAGATACAATTTTGGCTGCCAGTGAAGAAGGAAACTGGCTTTCAGACTGCCAGCACTGTGGACTGGGCCGAGTCTGAATGTGTACAGATTTCCAGGTGGGAAACCACTTACCCTCTAAAGATTAAGTCATGGTGCCATGGTTTCCTGGCATCTGGACGCCCCCATGAGTCCTCTAGGCAATTCTCATTATTGATATTCTGTGGTTGAACCCATTTCCTACCTGGAAGCATTCGGGGAGCTTCTGTTCATCTCGGTGGTCCACAATTTGAGTCACGGGCAGGACATCCTCCAGTTGTACCATCCCTCAGGACACACCTTTGTGGCTTTATCATTTGAAGGTCTTCTTTCTCTAAGGTTTTGTGTTGTGTTGCACATAAAAGACAGGAATCACACCTCCTAAAGTCATCGCATTTTCAGATTGGTTTGTGAACAGAGAAACTTAGAAAGTGCGGAAATATTTGTGTCACTCTGCCTCTATGCCCCTCCCATCTCATCCTGGCTCCCATAATATTCCAACAAGACCTTATTACCACTTCCTTACTGGCCTAGCTGAGGGCCATGGCCCACTGTGTTCAACCCAAGAGAGATCAGGAAATCATGGGAGGAAGAAGTAGGAAAGCATCAACTTAGAGAAGAAGGCAAAGGCCTTCAACCTGGTTGTCCTCAAGGGGTGTCCAACAGTCTTTCCCCATTGGAGGCTGAGACTTCTTCCCATAGACAAGGTGGGCAACCACATGGTCCTCTCTCAGGTAGATCGCCTCATGGGGCTCCAGCCTCCAATAGCTGTCCTCTCTCCCCCGCACCGCAGGACACTGACCTGTCATTCCCAGCACCTCTGCCCCAAGGTGGACAGAGATCCTGTCTATGCTGCTCCATGCGTTTCTAATGTGGAGTAACACAATCAGGACATCTCTCAAGATCCTCTTCTACCATATGGGAAAGCCACTTAATAATCTCTTAGTGTTACTGTGCTGTATGAATCAGTGTTGGGAAACTCCTTTCTGAGGTTTGTTCGAATACCAGAAATTACTGTAGTTCTTTAATAAAATTAACAATCCTGTGCAACCTGCTTTTAAATGGAGAACGAATAGAAAAAACAGCACTCACCATAAGTCCACTGGCTAGAAATGAGTAGTGTTCTCTCTCATGTCTTTCTTTTCTGTCCAGTTACCTCAGCTCAGAGATGCCCAGACATCCAGAACTCCATTTCGGTGTCACAGAGTGATGGTAAAAGTAGCCACGTACACTGAGTTCAACCTACAGGGATATTTGCTCCGCTGAAAAATAGAGATTTGTTGCTTTTTTTTTTTCCTTAATGCTACAAAATCAGCTATAACAATAACTTTCAAATAAATTGTGATATGAATTTCAACTGTTCCTCTTTTGGAAATTATACAAATATAATTCAGGGTGTTTCAATGAATTGGATCTCACAAATCCAGTTCCTGTAAAATCTGAAGGTACATACCCCCAAAACACTTTGTGTGACATGTACAATCATGTCAAAAGACAGTAAGATTGATGCCCTGGCTCACCTTCAGGGGACTCAGGTAGTTATTGCTCATTTCGTGCCCTAGTTGGAGGTTCATGGGTCAGAAGAAGACCCCAATGTTGTCACACAGGAAGGCAGCCTTCTGCGAGAGCCATTTGTTTTACAGTCCCTCTGTAAAGTTCTACCTGACGGTATCGCATTAGACACTCACTGTCCCAGACATACACGCACACACACACACAGTTTTGTTATGGTAGTAAGACTCTCAAGGATGTGTCACTGCATACAGCCTCACCCCATTCAAAGAAAATACCCATTACCATTCTGCTAGGACCACTTCCAAGCCTGTTTGTCTCCCTTCCACCCAGTCTCCCAACCCTTCTTATAGTGGGAAACAGATTTCAATTTTCCCTGTGTGCTTTCAACAGGGTTAAGTGGTGATCTAAACCCTAAACAAAGAACATGGATTGACATGAAAACAGTGCACTTTCATGGGAGATTGACTAGAGGGAAGAGAAGCTTGTATACCTCTCTGTCTGGGTATGGAGGGTGCTCTATTTACCATCACTAAACTAGTAATGTCACTAGATGTCTGCATGCACAAAGTGAAACCTACTGGTTTGACAATGCTCTGAAGAGATGGACAACGTGGATACGCGGTTATTTAGGAGACTGATAGAAATACTTGACTTCTGAATGCATGCTGATGGTTCTCCTGAACATAGAAACACTCAGAAAGAAACCTGCTCCTTCTCGTCATCCATAGGACAGAAATGGATTTAACTTGTGGATCCGAGGTGGAGATATTTTAGTAGTGTTTGTTTCAGGTCTTCACCTAGTCAAATTTCCAGTATATATACATACATATGTAATACATATATATATATATATTTTCTCTTTGAGGACATTTTCCTTTGGAATTCTGTGTTGGCAAGAAATCCGACATTTCCCATTTCTCCCGAACATGGCAGCCAATGAGGCCACGCCCCACAGCGATCCAAGAATTCTGGAAGGCCTGGCAGTCTGGGGTTCTTCTTGGAGACTGGTTCTGTGGCTTACACCAGCTCTGGAGGTGGTACAGTGAGTCCCCAGGATCCTCTGCGTACCTTCCAACCTACCCTTCCTCTTATTAAGCCCTTATCCAGAAGGTATAGCCACAGCAGCTCAAGACCATGCTGAAAAGTAACCGCTTGATGGCACTGTTGATTCACAAATGAGAGCCACCCCCGTCCTCCTTGCCTCTCCCTCCGCCCTTTTCTGACTAAAAAAGCCAGACAAGGCTCAGAAGCCATCTAGGCTTCTAAGTGGGGTCTACTGTATTGGGGTTTCCAGGGAAGTGCTTTTGTTTCTTTCTGGCTTTTTAATAGCTAGATGTGTATATATGTGTATAAATATGAATATCAGTATGAATACATGTATACACGCATACTTATCTTTATATATTGCTAAATGTATTTCTAGAAGAACCCTGTCAGAATTCCACGTTAATAGGATCCCAGATTTTTGTTCACACCTATAGATACATAGACCTTCTTGGGTAGGATTTTAACTTTCATTTCTTGCTTCAGTCAAGATGAATATCTTGATTTCTGTCTTATCATTGTCTCACTGGCTTTGTTGGATTCATTGAGCTACTCCATCCAGGGCAAGGACTCAGAAGTCAGGAACCCGAGACAGAGTAGGTCATTGTGGCAGCAGGAGAAATTACTAGTGCCCATGGCAGGTCAGAAGATAGTGAGCCTGGTGACCTGGCTCAAGGTCTGGAGACCCAGGTAATTATTGCCCATATGTTGCCCTAGATTGGAGGTCCATGGGTCAGAAGGAGACCCAACTGTTGCTACACAGACAGGCGCCTCCTAGAGGACAATGTGTTTTACATCCTCTAATGTAAAGGTCTACATGAAGGTTTGGCTGAGTTACACTCAAAACTCCAAACATACAAGCATATGCTCACACACACACACACACAGTTTGTTTTTTGTTTTCTCTTTAACTGCTACGTAGGTGCCACTGTGTGCAGAACCTCATCTCATTCAAATAAAACGGCTATTACCATTGTGCTAGGTCCACTTCCTAGCATGTTCCTCTCCCTTACACCAACCCTCCTTACAGCAGGAAACAGACTTAATTTTTCCTTGGATACACTTTTGGTGTTTAATATACATAAAAGTAAATATAGACTCATGTTTGCATTTCACCTTTTCACTTTCCCCAGAGGGTGGCATGAGCAAAATATTCCTTTCGCTGCTTTCACAAAATACTTCTCCTGGCCTTTGCACAACTGTGCGAAGAGACATACTGCTGGATAATTTTAGTTTCCTTTCTAACCACTGCTTAGTGTTCCCCTGTGTGGAGGTGGGTGGGAAATGAGTTATTTATGCTGGGCTTCTCCCTTGACACTAGGCTTTAGATATCCTTCCTTCCTACTATCCTTTCTTCCTTCAATTTTTCCTTCTGTTCTTCCTTCCATTTGCACCACCCCTCCCATCTCATCTCAACTTTTTCCCTATCTATCTCTTACTTTCTTTAATAACATCCTTTGAGGCAATGTATTACCTCATGATAATTGGTGTGTATGTACATTTTCTAATAAATGTTATGCGAGAATACATGGCTTCCTCTCTCTGGGGTCTGTCTCTTGATTCCTTACCCTCGAAGAGGTAGCTCAAGTGTCCGGAAAAGCCAATGAGACAATGATAAGAGAAAAAAAATCTAGGTACTCATCCTGACTCAAGCCATGAGTCAATATACTGTGAAATCTAAAATGGAACCCAAGAAGACCCATATATCCACACATATGAACAAATATCTGGGTACTTATTAACATGGAATTCTGACATAGAAGTCTTACAGAAATAGATGTAGCAATAGACAAACAGGCATGTATACATGCACTCATACTGGTATTCACATATGTGTATATCTTGCCTGAATGGTGTAAATACTTTGTGCTTGGCTTCTAACTGAAATGTTAGCAGTTCGAACCTACCCAGTGGCTTCCCTGAAAAAAGTCCTGGCCATCTGATTCCATAAAGATTACATCCAAGAAAACCCTGTGGGGCAGTTCTAATCTGTAACATACTGGGATGCTATAAGTCAGAATCTACTCCACAGCAACGTGGATTTTTTAAAAATAACTTATTTTACTTTTTGTTGTTGTTGAGAATATACATGGCAGAATACAGACTAAATTCAGCAACTTCTTAATGTACATTTTAGTGACATTGATTACATTCTTTAAAGTTGTAGAACCATTCCCAACTCCCCTTGAGTTACTCCTCCACGATTAACATAAACTTACTGTCCCCTAAATTTACTATCTAATCTTTAGAGTTGCTGTTGTCAATTTGATCCCATATAGATAGATCTTAAAAGAGCCCAATGGTCAAGACAGATATTCTTCACTAGTTCCACTAAACTATTACCGGGTTTTAAGAAGACTTCAGGGGATACTTTTCGTTTATGGTTAAAAATTTAAAGATTATCCCAGGGCAATAGTTTAGGGGGTTCATCCAGCTTCATGGCTCCAGAAATTCTGGATTCTGTATAAATGTGAAATTCTGTTCTGCATTTTCCCCCTTTTGATCAGGATTCTTCTACAGAATCTTTAAGCAAAATGTTCAGTAACGGTGGCTGGGCACCATCCAGCTCT